TTACAGTAATTGCAAACATTTTTATGGTTATAATAATTATAATTATTTTTAGTTGCCAACTATATTTTATTAGTAGAATTACAATCGTTATTTTATTATTAATATTAGAGCAGTAATAATCATAATTAATAAATTATAAATAATGATAACATATAATTATAATCGCAAAATTGTTCTCTTAGTATAAGGATTTAATAATTTATAATATACGTAATATATACTAAAAAATATAACTATAAAAACTAAAATTTTGGGGGATTGTTCTGAGAACCTAGCAACATCTGAGTATCTTTAAACCATCTATCTAAAGTTAAATGATTGGCAATAACCAACTATTTTGACAATAGAAACTACTTTAATTTCAAGCAACAGTAGCTTCATTCGTATTAACGATATACGACTTTCCTACCAAGAGAAAACAATGCAAATTCGTAAGCGCGTACTAGTTCCGTCGAACTGATTGCGAAACTAGTACATGCAAGCGTAGAGAAGTTTTCGGTTGTACCATTGTATGTAGGACGAGCTGTAGATCAATACGTACAGAGCTACCGATCACTTGCGGTACTCAGAGACAGTTGAAGTCGCTTTCCAGAATTTATGAGAACCGATTACGAGTTCGATTCCGGATGACCATCAAAACGTTCAGTTCAATACATCTCGCTTATAACCCGAGAGTAAGATTGAAACGGAAGGAAAATAATGTACGATGGGGATCGTTTAGTCGAGGCGACTTCATGAATATCATTTAAAGCCCATAAATTCTCCACGAGGGAGTCTATCACGTCGATGCATTTTTAAAAAATTTCATACATAAAATCGTTCTCGCGAAATCGGATAATACTCATATCGGATAATACTCAGTCGTTTGTTTAAAAAAAAACGATCAATATTATTTTGTTCCATTATCCCTGTCCTTGTTATATTTTTCACGCAATTTGTTCAGCGCGTGCGGAAAAGACGCCCGGAGTTCTTTCTTTGCCGCGATAACTCGAAATACAGAATCTGTTAAGTGGACGCGGGAATCGGATAAAAACACACGAACATCGGTCCCTTTTGTTAAAAATACTGACTCTTTGAGAATTGCTAAAATTGCAGTTCCTAGCATTAAGCTTGGTGAAAAAAATCAACAGAGAAAGAGAGGGAAAAGGAACGAAACAGAGATGAAAAAGAAATAGATAGAAACAGTTCTAACCGCAAGTAAATTTAAGATAGAGAAGGTAACTAAAAAGTTGTTGAGTTTCTCTGGGCTCTGCATGAAAAACACAGGTGGTCACGTCTGGTATATGTGATACAGGATTGAAAAACAGTATGAATGCACTGAAGCGTGATTTGCAAACCAAACGATAAAGAAGCAAAACGACGTAAAATGCGCCGCGCTGATCGAACCGTCGCGATATACCTACGGTTTTTCTGTATTTTTGTCCAGTGTGACAATATCGAATGCAGGAAAACAAGGAAAATAAACATGAAAACAGATATTATATGTCGATATTATATGTCGATACTGCGAATAATTAATGATTATAGTGTTTTTATTTTCTTCGGGTAAATTCAAGTTTAAGAATTAAATAAATATCTATTTAAAAAATAGTTAAACGTAAGATTAATTCTTGATTAAAGCATAGATGATAAC